GAGAAGGTCCTTTACCCCAGGAGAATAGACTATAAAAATAAAAGAAAAGAGAGGACAAGAAGACATAGAAGGCCAGAGGAGTCCAGGTAAAGATTCAATATCAATGCTGGCTGAGCCCGGCAGGCCTCTGCTAGACCTTAGAGTTCATGCACCTGCCATGCAGCAATCTCCATGAATATTCTGAACCTTAGGAATAAGTTAACAGAGAGAAGATGCCCACAAAACAATTGTGTATAGATGGACAGATGGTCAGATGGACAGAAGGAAGAAATAAAAATTAGATGGATATGAATGGAAACGGATGAATGATGGATAGGAGTTGGGTAGTAATGGATGAGTGGGTGGAGAGAGAATGGATGGAAGGAAGGAAGAAAACAAACAGAGGGAGAACTGGATAAAAGAACAAAAAGAAGAGAGGAAAGGAAAGATGGAGGGAAAGGGAGAGGAAGGGATGTAAGTAGGAAGGAGAGAGACAAGAGAAAGGTGTATACACAGTAGGTAATGGAGTGGATTGCAGGTGTGTGCTAGTAGAAGCTTAGCAACTGGCTCTTCCAGGATGAAAAAAAAAAACAAAACACTGGTTTCTAGTGTTTTCGAATTTCTGCACCCTGGCCAATCTCAAGGTACCACTGAGAGGCATGCTGGGAAAAGAAGCACAGCCACCATCCTAAGCCAATGTGAGCTCATTCCAACACAACCTGAGAGGACCAGCAGATGATGATTGAGGCAGGTGAATGGACGACAGGAGGAGGATAGAAGGATGCTGGAGAGTGCCCATTTCAGTTGTCCTAAGGGAAGGAAGCAGGTTCCAGTGCTTCAAGGCAGATGGGAAGAGGTGTGGCTCTGTCTTCTAGGAGGCTGCCCCACGGAGCCCACAACCTTTATCGCTGCAACCTCCCTGTCTGTCCTACTCAGAAAGCATTTAGCTCAGACCACCAGTGCCGTTCACTATTCATTCATTCACATCTTTACTGCACAGTCTACCATGACCAGGTGGTAAGCAAGGACTGCTCAGACAGCCAGAAATGAGTCACCCATCTTGCCACTGGGGTTGACAGTCCAGTGGGAAAAGAGATCAGTAAGCAAATAGCTTGAATTTGGAGTTAACAATGAATAAGAGAAATATGTGCCAGGGCTTGAGCTGCCCAGAGGAGTAACAGCCCAGGACAACCTGAGAGAGGCCTGTCTCTCCAACCAGGCTGGGCAGGGCTGGATGTCCATGCTCAGGAGTGTCCTCTCCGCCAGACAGAGGTGGGCGGCCTTTGCTTTGACTCGGCAGATTTTTATTCAGTTGAACTCTCAGCCGGTGTAGACTGACTGGTCTTTTGGTCTTCATGTGCCAGAAGGCAGGCTTCCCCTCCTGTGTGGGGCTGTTCACCTCAAAACCTGGTGGAAAATAGATTCTCTTGTGAACCCCCAAAATTCCAATGCCAAAAAGAACTTCCTAGAGAAAGAAATCAAAGAAACATTGTCCTTCCAGTTCCAGTCCAAGACCACCATCTCTTTTCCCACCAGCTCCCCAAAGAGGCAAGGGCTTCCACACTCCCGTACTGAGGTGTGAGGTGGACATCAAGGACCCCCCAGGGACGGTGATGGTTCCCCAAGCTCCCCCAGGTCCCTCTCTCTGGCTTTGCCCACTGAAGAACCTGACTATGCACAAAGTCCCCTGCGAGGCTCCTGCCCTTCACCAGCTCAACTCCACTGCACCGCTTCCCTGAAAGGATGTTTCTTGGTGGCCCCCAGATCTTATTTGTCACATGCCAAGTGGCAAAAAAAAATCTCCAAAGGCTGTCAGATCTACCACTGTGACTGACAGAGGACCTTGAAGCAGAGGGAACTTTTCATTTTAAAAAGCCTTGAAAGAAGGAAAGGATTCGGTGACCGTCCTCAGGCGATCATCTCCCACCCTGTTCCGTTCTCCCTCTGCACCCGGAGGGACTTTAGCTCCTGGCCCTGACCTCATCCCTAAAGGACCAGGAGGAAGGAGGAGCTGGCAGGTGTGGCTTCCAGAGAAAAATCCTTATGAAGCAGAGGTGACTTCTACCTGTTCTCTTGGGCTCTCTCAGATCAGGTGTGGCCTGCCAGCCAGCCCCCACGGAGTCCTCTCCCACGCCCTCCCCCAGCCAGCCCCAGGCTTCCTCCCAAGCTTCCTTCATTAGACATCTTACAGCCATTCTCCTCCCCTCCTGGCAGCCTCCCTGGATTCAGCAGGTGGAGCAGCCTCACCCACCCACTGCAGTGGCCTGGTAACACCTATCACCAATCATCTTCTCATGAAAGAGGAAACCCCTTAAAAGGAAAAAACAAAAACCTCCTCTACCTTCCCTGGAACCCCAGGATTGGAGGAGAGCAACCACCAGTTTTATCCCCCTGCCTCTAGAATGAAAAAAAATTTTTTTTTAATTAAAAAATACACACACACACACACACACACACATTTTTTAACTATATAGCCTTTAAAAGACCTAGGAGGAAAATGATTTCACAGCCTCTCTCATCTGTTTATTTCAAGCGTTAGAACTATTTGCTGCAGGCAGTTCTTCTTTGAGTCTAACTTAAACACACTCTAAAAATGACAGTTTACTATGCAGTTGATGTTGAGGAACTGAGCCTTTGGCTCTGCCAAGGATGAGCTGAGAATCAATGAGGAGGGCTCTGGTTGGGTCCTAATGTCTCTGTGGTTCTTTTAAGGTCATGGTAACTTTGTTCTCTTAGAGTGCCTCTAGCTACAGACAGCGCAGGGAGCCTGCAGTGGTTTGACATTTTATAGTAATAATAAAATGTCTGAAGTCTAATTTCCTCATTTATGCTAGCCTAATACAACAAAGTGTATCCTGAAATCCGGGGATGGGGGTTTCAATTACGGATGAAGAAGAACTCTTTGGATTGAGAAGTACCGTTCCTGCTATCACAATTCCCTTCTCAGAGCACTTTAAAAGCAGGACTGATTTCTACCTGCCTAGAATATTTTAGGGGCAGAGGGGGAGGCAAAGGAACACACATGCATAGCTCATCTCCAGTGGCCCAGGCATGGTCCCAACCCTGGGATGCAGGGAGAAAGGAGACACTCGCCCCATGCTCAAGGGGTCCCTTGGGATTCAAGCAATAACCCTCTCCCCCAACCCCAAGACCTACCCTGTGATCCTTCCAGGTCTTTGTCCCCTGAGAATACATTGGACCCCAAAGTGGCTCTCAGGTAAGCAGAAGCTGAGTGGGGCCTCCCTGGGGTAGGGGGTCAGGCCTGGGGCTGGTGGTGCAATCTGATGGTTCCCCAAGACCCCTTCCTCAGCACCTCGTCAACACTAGCCAGGGGAAATGCCCCCTGCATCAGGCCAGCCTCGTCCGTGGCTCTCTACCAACACCATCAAGGATGCCGTGCTGGTTAAGCCGTGAGAGTCGGTTATCTAACACTAATCTAGGTGTTGCCTTGAAAGTATTCATCCGTGTGGTTAACACCCACAGCCAGCTGACCTTCAGTGAAGATTACCCTCAGTGACAGTGACATGGGTGCGCCTCATCTCATCAGTCCAAAGGCCTTAAGAGTTAAAGACTGAAGTTTCTCAAAAGAAAACATTCCGCCTCCCTCAGCAGCATCAGCTCCAGCCCAGATTCCCCCTGGCGGCATACCCCGTGGATTTCAGGCTCGCCAGCCCTACAATCACCTGAGCCAGTTTGTGGAAATAAATTTCTTCATAGAGATACATATCCTGCTGGTTCCGTTTCACGGTGGAATTTGACTTTTTGCCCCCACAGCCCAGCTCCGGCTCCCTGGGGCCTGAACAGCTTCTCAATGAGAGAGGAGCTTCCCTGAGGGCCCATAGGTCTGGCTCTCTGTGGGGACGGTGGGAATTGAGGTGACAGCAGCAGGCCAGGGAGCATGGGTGCAGGAGCCCAGGGACTTTCCTGTGTGAATTTGAGCAGGTTACTTAAACTCTCTCAGCTGGTTTCCTTGCCTGTAAATGAAGTTGCTCCTCACTCCCTGGTGGGACTGCTGAGGGATGGAGAAGGTCATCATTGTGCAGAGCATCAAAAGTGCTCCATAAGTTTTTGTTTAACTTATGGCTTTGAAGGAAAATGAGCAAGGTTTTCCTCTGCTGGAGGAGGAATGGGAAAGGGCTTCGCAAAGGAGAATTGACCAGTTTCCTTCCTGTTCTTGCAGCTGGGGAGGGTGAGGCTCACAACCCTCTGCTCGTGGCTCTCCTCGAAGGCATGTCCCAGGTCACTTTCAGCTGTAAAATTCTGTGTAAAATTTTAGGGCTGCATCCTAAAATACACAGAAACAAGAGCAGCGGAGATAATTAAAGACTTAAAAAAATAGGACCTGAGAGGAAAGGGTTAAAGGTGGTGGAATTATTTAGCCTGGAGAAGGGGTAGTTTCCTAACACCCTTCCTAAGCTAGGGAGGGATGTTTGGATGCAGGCCTAACCAGCCTCCCTCTACCCCTCTAGAGGGAAAAATTGAGAGGAAACTGGCTAACAGGCGCAAGAAGGACTGAAGTTAGATTGCAGTGTGTCTGCCTTGCTGAGATAGCATCCATCCTTTCTATCTGTATTGGAAACAGATTGGAAGACCTCTGAGTTCTCTTCCTGCTATTTGAATTCTAGAAGCTAATCTTTACAAAATTGCAAGAGATAGGAGGAAACAGACAGGTGGACAGAGCAAACTGAACATGGATATGGGAGAGGGATGCTGGCCCAGGGGCATTCCACTGATTCTGGACACAATGGAGTCACCAGGGAAGTCCCAAGGTCATGAAGGCTACACAGAGTGAAGCTTGTGCTCCAGGCTGGCTCCTCTGACCCCAGAAGATGCCCTCCTCCCCGTTCCTTTCACACACAAGCTGCCCAGGTGCAGGTAGTGCTGATCTCCCAGGAAGAATGTGATGTGTTTTCATCCTGAGCCTGGGACTCGGCCAGGCCTCTCCTGTAAGAACCTCTGCCATCATCAGCATTACTTCATTGGAACAGCAATGCTAGTTACTCTTTTGGTTGAGGGCCACCTCTCTGCCAGGCACTCCTCCAGGGCCACCCAGCAGAGTCGGGAGTCAGCCCTGAGCTACTCACCCCTGCCATCTGAACTTCACTTCTGACCATGAGATAACATTATCCCCATCTTAATCAAGAGGAAATAAGACTGAGTTGAGCTAATTGCCCTCAGTCACTCAGTATCAACCAAAGAAGCCAGGGGTCCCAGCTCCAAAACATTTCCCCTCCTGAGAACAATGGGGCATTGCCACTTGCTGCAGCATTTTCATCTCTAGAGATAGAGAGAGAAATCCCTGGGAGGCTCTCCAGTGAGTGGCAGACAAGGGTCACTCACCTGTCCATCAGAGGGACTGGACAGAATAAAAATAAATAGCATTTTCATCATTATTTGCTAAGCATGTACCAAGCAAGGTACCAGGCACAGAGCTAAACCCCTGACATGGGTCTCTCGGTCAGTCCTCCCATAATTTGAAGTGATGCTTTCCTCCATTTTAAAGAAACTGACACAGAAAGGTTACGTTAATTGCCCAAGTCACAAGAATTAATAACTAGCAGAACTGGGTTTTGAACTCCACATAATCTCACGCTAGAACTTTCTCTCTAATCCTTTAAACTATGCTGGCAATTTTCTTCCTCCTGGCTGAGCAGGCTAACTGATTTTAAAGTCAAGCAGCTACCTTTGTGATGTCTCTAACAATTCTTTCCAAGTCCTCCATGTTCTTCCAGTCTCCATCTCTGGGAAGGTCACTCGTAGCCAGTCACCACCGCATGACTGCCCCTGCACACACCCTGGCCTCCGGAGCTCAGGAATCCAGAGAGGCCCTTCTCCAGGAGGAGGCTGTGTAGTCAGAATCCTGGCCTGTCCCCAGCAAGGCCTGGCTTCTCATGTATGGCCTCACCCGAGGGCACAGCTACGCCCAAGGCCAGAACCAGACTCAGAGCCCAACCAAAACTTGACCCAGAGCCAGAGGACTCCCTGAGAGCTGAAGGAGGCAACCTGAGCCCACAGCGGCAGAAGGAAGGTGTGAGTCACATGGAAGGCAATGAGGCCAGCTCTGCCTGAGTCACTGTCCAGCCTGAGGCCCCTGGTGAAGAAGGCAGCCTAGTGAGAGGGACACGGAG